AGAGAGAGAGAGAGAGAGAGAGAGAGAGAGAGAGAGAGAGAGAGAGAGAGGGAGAGAATGTAATCGGTTGAGTGTAATTTTGCAGTCGCCGCGGTAAGTTACGGAGAAAATTACCCGACGATTGCCGCTACCGAGTCGTAATTAACGAAAAGTCGATCGCGGACATATCGGGATCGTAATTATTCCGTCTAATTACGTTATTACGTAAGACTAATTGCCAGATCTCCATTTATTTTTTTTTCTTGAGCCGCGTGAAAACAGCGTGTGAGCGTAATATCAGCGTAATAAATATAATTAATATTATAATACTTTTTAATTTGTTTTTTCGTACACTTTCTTACTTATTTGCTATGATAAAATTACCAGGAAATTGAAATTAGAAATAAAATTAGTTGACGGCACCTCGAGACTATAACATATATGCACTTGTAGTGTCCTGTTTTTAATTTATTGTTTTGTGATAGCAGATTCTCTGAAAGTTCTGAAGACGATTTTTTAGCGAAGTTCTTCTGGGTTGTCTAGTTTTCAGCATTTTGTGTCCATGTAAATTAAGTCTCAAGTGAAGTCTCAGTAATTAAGTCTCAAGTGAAAATTTTGCCTTAAAATCGGATGTATCTAAAATTAGAGGAATGTAGTTTTAACACTTGTTATTCTTGGATCGCTTATAATTCAACAATTAATTATCTGGACATCTTCGTTGAAGAAACTCAAGTCGGAGTCTGCTACTAGAATGTATAACGCGGTGGGACTAGTATAAGTGGGACGTTTTGCTTAATAATTTTGACAAAATATAAAAGAATGATGTTATGAGACATAAGAGGAGCGACGAGAATATAAAATTTCGTTGTCGTAAAAAGTTGTCGCCTCTCACTCCGTTTCGACGTCGAAGTACAGAACGACCGTCGAAAATTATTCTTCATCTTTTTCCTTCACATTATCGTTACTGATCGACTTCGTTGTTTTTCGTTTTACAGGTGTCCCATCCGGTTCCAGTTCCGGTTCCACACCCCGTACCAGTCGCAGTCCCGCACCCGGTCGTCGTCAAGGAGACGGTCCCCGTTTATGTTAAGAGCTACGGACACGGCTACGGGCACGGCTACGGCCACTACTAGATGAAATTTTTCCCCGAAAGTCACGCGCGCATGTCCGTCCTATCTTACCTACCTACCTACCTGCCCACCTGTTTGTCCAGCATCGCAAAATCCATCGCGACGGGCGGCCAAACCTGCAGACGCTTCCTCCACCCGTCGCAGTACTCTGAATTCATGGAATAAATCAATTTTGTAAATGTTTTCGTAAAGAAAGAAACACCGAGTCGACTTCATTTGCCCTGGAAATTCATCCACTGTCCTATGAGGTACGCAAAAATCCTTTAATACTTCCACTGTCTCCAATCTCCTCACGTACTTTTAGATCCAGCAAGATTAGTAAAGACCTCCCGTTTAATTAATAAGAGGAATGTGACGTTATTTCACGCGATGCCATCGTTGGTATTAATTAATACTATTCAACATTTCGATATAATTATTATATTTTGCTATGAAATTGTTTTCATTCCGACTTTGCAAGATTCGCTCGTGTTATCGAAGTTTTTCTATCTATAAAGATATTTTTAGATTTCTAAAAGATATGAGAGAATACAAGGACCTCTTATGATCTAAAAGTATAAGAGGATGCAAATAACAGCAACTAATATTATAGATATTACATATGTTACGGATATATTGTGATTTTTCGCCGCAATTTCGCGCGAAGTCGTGTTAACCCCCTACAGCTTTCATGTTAAATTGTTTTTGGGGAAAATGCCAAGAAATTACCAGTACCGGGAGGATTTCAGTTTCCATATCCATTACACATACCAGATCAGTATACAAGTCTGATCCTTTAGAATACTAATCTTTCAGAATATATAGATGTTAGAAAGTATTTAGGCTGAAAGTAAGACTAAAATTTCGACTTAACTGGATATGTGGAATTATTTCCATCCTGATTTTTTCAAAGTCCACTTGCGTTATCGTGATTTCTCCGTTCGTGTAAACACCTCTGAAAAGAGTCAAAGTATAAAGAGTAAAGATACAATTATAGAACAAATCCTGCAGTTATTATAGACATTACGGACGTGCCACGATTTCACACGGGCAATCTCTCGCGTGTTCAATTTCGAGCGGAGTTGCGTTAACTCGGAACTGGATCTCCTAGAACTTTCGAGACTATTTTCGAGACTCGCGCGCTTCGCAATCGCCGGCGCCAAAGAATTACAGAGTCAAGGTGAGCCTGGAGCGCAATATCGGCGGCGAAGGGAAATACGGAGACCTGTTCGTCTGTTTTTCGGACGCGATAGTCGTAATCGCGCACAATGCGAGAGATCGAATCGCGCGCGGACGCCCTTGCTCCGGGCACTTAGGAAATGTCGAAATGACAACACAGAATACTCGCACGCAATTGACGTCGGGCGCTCTTTCGTAATGAAGATTTAAGTGGCCCGACCGCTCATCACGCCTCGCTTCTGTTACTCGTCGTCACTTCGCTCCGCGTTTTACACTTCGTCCAGGTGCGCCCGCCTTTCACAATGGATACCGTAAATTCTCTTCGCCGCTGGCTAACTCGATCCTTCCCATTCCGCCGTCGGGATGAGTCCGGGAATGTCTGGCTTCTAGTCGGCTGGCATTTTCGTAAATTCGTTCGATCTGCGATCAATTTTCGCCTGACTCATATCTATCGCGAAAAACTCGTGCTCGCGACGACGTCTTGAATAGAGAAGATTGCACGAAATAAGTAAACATACACCAAACTTTTATATAAGATATATTTATACGATCGGTGAAGAAAAATGAAAATAAGTAAGAGTTATTGCCGACTTGGAGAGGAGCGGAAATATATTACAATAAATTAAAGATATTTAGATATCTAGATTCTGTAATTATAGATTTTAAATATCTTCAGTCTGTTGTAATATATCTTCGCCTCAAAATCGGCCATGCTTTTATTTGTTATTATTTTTCTTTATTAATCGCGCAAAATTGTTTCACGTTTCATAAAAAAATATCACGATGTAGGTGTTATCTCTGTAATGTGTAAGTGTGTAAGCTAATTACAATTAGAAAATCATATTCATCGTGGCGGTTTGTGTTAAGGAAAAAAATCTAAAAAATAAAAAATGTTTATTTTTAGTGGGTATTGTCATAAAAAATATACATAGTACCTACACACATACACACTATACATATAAAATAAATTTTATTTTTTTGGCTCTCTATTTTTTAGCTTTCTCTCTCAATATAGAGATTAGAACTTCGGAGAATAAATTAGAGTAGAAATTAACTAAAATTAGAAAATCACATATCAGAGTGCGGTGTGTGTGAAATACAGTCAATCGATGGAAAAAAAGAAATCGTAGAGTTGTGTGTGTCGGCTCGCTCGTTAAACTCTTAGCTCGCGTGTTTCGTTAAATGTTAAAGGCACTGGGTCGTCCAAGTGTCTAGCACAAATAATGGCGCAATGCGACCGTTGCGCGCGAAGACAGTCGTGGGAAAGAAACGGCATCCTTAGAAGCAGCATAAGATGAGATCTCAAATGGGGAGAACGGATATCGTGCGAGATATTTTCGCATTCGCGCTAGAAACTGATGTTGAACGAGACGGAGGGCTCGATCATTTACGACACGCGCAAATTTTGGCAACGCTCTCGCTCGTTCATTTTCATTTGCTAAAAAAGAAATACTTGGAAATTTTACTTGTGGGACATAAAGTTTATATTCTGAAAAATAAACTTCATTTCGTAGAAATAATTTTTATTTCACAGAAACAAACTTTACATCCCGCAAATAAATTTTCAAGTTATTTTTCCTCAATACGTCCATTCGATTCAGTAAAAGAACTTGCGATAAAACGCAATAGACGATGAATTTGAAAAAATTAGTTTCTACTCCAATTTATTCTTGGTTCAGCCTAAGACTAAGAGATTATGCAAGTTCAACGAAAAAATCGCGTATTTAGTATTTTGTAGAAGTAAATTGCTAGCTGAGTCTCAAACGACACAGTCGAGTCTCTCGCCTCGAAAGCGCTGCGCACCTCGGGGATTATTATTCGTTTAATAATTTTCACTTGTTGCGAGATCATTTAATCATTCGTATACTTGAATTGAGTTTTATTTTTTTTTTAATTTTATCTCATCCCCCATTTGTCCGCGATTTCGATTTTCTGAGATTCATATCTTGCGAGACAAAAATTCGTGTATCACCGGTACTACTTTGAAAACGTCCCCTCTGAATTACTCTCCGCCATCCAGAGTTTCTCAGAGAAAAACAGGAAAATAAGGAAAAAAGAAAAAAAAACATTTAGAATAAGAAAAAAGGAATATTTAGAATTCTCGCTGTGAGATCCCCAAGAGTGAAGTGAGGAAAGATTGAGCAAGCGCGGAATATTGCATCGACGTAAATACGATCGCTCGTCATCCATCACTCGTTCTATCTTTATGAAACCAATTCTGGCGCGAGAAACGCGATTAAGCAAACGGCTCATTTCGATTAAGCGAAATTTAAATGCCCGATTCTACCCACGTCTCATTCCTCGACTTCGCAACTACGCTGTGGTCGCATAATACGCAGATAACGTAGTTGAAGAATCTTGTTGAAGGTTCCTGTACACACAAGGATTGGGTCGCCTGTGTTTCTACAAGGTGTACCAGATTCTTGAAATATTCTTTAATCTGAAAGCTGGTTTCGCCAATACGCTCGCGTTAATTTCGTAGCACGCGAGAATGCAATTTCTATCGTTTCGTTTTAATAATTTCGGGCTCAAGAAAACATTGAGAAATATCATTTCCGCTTTTATTAGTAGATATTATTTTATTTTTATATCATTTTATTTTATATTTTTTTATATATCATCTTATTTTATTATTATTATATTTATAATATTATAATATTATTATTAATTACATTATTATTTTATATTTTATCTATTAATAGATATTATTTTTGGATATTAATGGATATAATTTTTGCAATATCTGTTAATCTATTTCCTAATGGAGCGTGAGAATTTTATCGTTATTACTATTTTACGTTATTATCTGATCTTATTTTTTCTTCAATCGCTTATTCACTTTAATTATTAATCTCACTTTCTTCCTTCATGCTACTTTGTAAGTTTTTATTTTTTACATAACTGAAGGCTATTTCTAGTCACATTAATATATTATTATATTATTACTATTATTATTATCGTTATTGTTATCATTACACGTGGTTTTGATCTTTTCGACGTAATCGCGATAGTTTGATGCGAAATTAATTCCGTTTCAACGTTCCCATGATCCATTCGCGTTGTCGAAATTTCTTCTATTGCTCTCGGGATCTTTGAAATGGAACAAAGTGCAAGAATTCAGATATACGACACGATAATGATGCAAATAGCGGAATGTGAACGACCAACAACTTGCGTAAAATACTCGGGGTTACGCGCGGATAAGCGGAATGCACATTTTTATAAAGGCGCGTGTATGATCGACTGCCTGTTGCATAAGATTTGCATAGATTCCCGCGGAATGTAACGCCGAGACCGGGCACAAAATCGTTCGCGTTCCAAATGCGTCTCCTTGTATTTCCTTCGCCGGAAAATAAAACGCAACATTTCTCACCTAGCTTGTTGCAATACATTGAGACGCAAATCGCGATTACATAAGATCGCAACAAACACACACACCCACACACAGACACAGCATAACACAGTGGCCGCTTTAATCGAACGCAATTGATATGGGCGACTCAAGGAAGATAGGAACAAAGCCAGGCGACAAGCTTCCTCGTGGATGTGTAATTTCGAGGACGCACGCGGTTGACTTTCTTTCTTTAGGCGCGGAACGTGCCGCGTTCACACAATAACGGTCCCTCGATCGCGCCGATTTGCATGACAATAACGAGATGTGCCGCGTTTAGCAATTAACAATCACTTCCTCCTCGCGGATATCGGGTCTTGTTACGTCGCAACCCTACCGAGATGCATCTTGCTTCTTCTACTTATCCACTTTCAATATCGGCCGAACCTAGTCTGATTGAGTGTCCAGGAATATTTGTTTTCTTTGTTCCAAATTTTTAATAATCCTAGTTGACTTGAAATGATGATTTGATTTCGATATTAACAACTTATTCTGATAATGATAATAATTGTAATCGGTTCTTAATAAATTGAGGGAAAACTATCTGAAGAATAGAGAATATTTATCGGTGGGTGCTGACAACATATTTACTTAAATCTGAATTCTTTCGCTTAAATAATATAAACGATTGCTTTTATGAAAAGCTATCG